TTTCTGAAATGTGTGCTGGGTGGCTCGTTTTTTCTTATGAACTACAAGGTCTCAACGGGGGCATATCTGGGATGAGGTTCTCCAAGCAAGTCACATTGAGTGATCACCTGATGGTACCACAGAAGCCAGGGTTATTTCTCTGATGTGCCATTAAAAACCCATAGCAAAAGTATGGCTAAACCTATGTTCTAGGGTAATAATTTCCCTCTTTTGATGTTTTACAGCTCAATTACTAATTGATAATTCTTGATTTTACCTTTAATCCCACTTGTTTTTTCCAAGCTATTACGCCTTAGAAGGATGAGTTTGAAACTTGCATAGAACGCTTTCTTCCTTCATTCTCAAAAGCCTAGATGAATTGAAGGAATGAGATCATGTGCATAATTCAGACTGTGTTCTTGTGGTGAGGCTGGGCATGGTGGTATGTGATGTATCACATAATCTCCAAAAAAGATTGGATCGGTGCCTCAGGTGCTCACTTTGCTCTTCAGAGTGTACCTGGACAAAAAGCTCTACGATGCAGACAGTAGGTCATCCAGGACTTGTCATGACCTGCTTTGCAAAAGAGTCTGTAAAACATAGTCTGTCCCCAGCAGATACCTGTTAACAAGATACGCTTGGGTCTGAAAATACCAGAAATCTGCCAAAGTTTGTGACTCATCAGTAATGAACTGTAGAGACAATTAGCTAAATTCATCTAATTTTGTTGAAATTCACAGCTAGGATTTTAATTTACAAGTAGAGTGGCTGCAGCTGTTCTGCCTTTCGATGTCTGTTAAGCCTCTAGCATGAGATCTTCTCTGTAATAACCTTAATAGCATTGAGTTGACGCAAAATTCCTGCAACTTCAGTGAGCCTAAGTGTTCTACATTCAAAACTGTGCTAGTAAAATAGTAAAGGATTCCGGCCAACAAAAGGACAGTCTAGACCACTGGAAATAGCGTCAATCCATCCAAGGGGGTCATCTCGGGCCATGTTGGATTAGGATGTGGACACTTGGTTAGGTTGCTAGTAAGTGATGCTGTGGCATTAGGACAGAAATTGTCCAGGGTGTAAAGTGATAAGCTCTCTGAGGTTCAGGCAATGACAATAGGAGCATTCTTTTTTGAAAACTGGCTCACTTTTAATGCTTGCTAGCCTTTCTCCATAATTCCTGTGGAAATTACGTACATCAGACAAATAATCATTGCTTAAGGAAAGAAGTAAGGCAAATTTATCTTTTCATTACGTTCACTATAAGAGGACAATCCTTTGTAATATAAGAAATCGAGCTGTGATTATAGCTATTCTTTGTTGTGTGTCATTTTAACAACTCTCAAAACTTTGCTTGGAAGGAATCCTTGAGGCTTTCCTCCCTTTGCAAATTTTTATAACATAAACCAAAGAGTTAAGATTTTGGCCATAACCACAAGAGCATAAGATGATTCATGTGTTAGTTGGTTAGCCATGACTTTAACCGAAGGAACCTACCCTCTTTCTAACACTCAATGTTCTGTCTTGAAAAGCCTCTGCTGTTGGTCACCAGAGCAGTCAATTGTAGCAGCCTCTGGTTTTCTGGTTACACACCTGCTGACCACTACTCAAATGTAGATTAAAACCAACAGTATGCATTTATATGGCACTGTATATGATCAGATATTTTAGAGTAAAGACCAGTCATTAAAATAGCATATGCCTCAAGAAAATCTGAAGGAAACCCATAGAGTAAGAAACTTGAGGAAGGGTACTTTCTAAGGGTAGAAAATCTAAAGAACTATTTGCTAACAACTTTTTCAGAATATGGACATTGTCTCTATTACAATAACAAATTTCAACAGAAAGTTAAGACCCTTTCTCTAAGAAATGGCAAAATTAAACCTATGCCATTTTAGCAAAACATTGACCTACCAGGGAGCTGATTTGGGGGAATGAGGCTTGAATTTTAGTTTTCCTATACCTCCTAACAAGCTCTAGGACTTAGACAAGTCACTTTACTTTTTTTTTTTAATTTTTGTGTCCTTTGTTGTTAAAAGAAGTTGAGCTTTGAAGTCCTTTCCAGCTCTTAAAAGTGCCAAAGTGTAGATTATAATTCTAAGTATCTCAATTTTTCACTCTAAGTTTGAAAGGGATAATTAGCTTTTCTTGGGTTTTGCCAGCATTAAGTAGAAATTTGGCTAATCTGCATGCTGCTAGTTCTTCAATCACCATCTTTGACACCTTTGGAAATGGTAGATGATTTCTCTGAAGCAGAGAATATAGCTGTGAACGCAGTGGTGTTTTGTAGCATTTTCAAAGTGTCTTTAAGTCCCTTCGACTCTTAGGTATAGTCAATATATCGTGACCACTGGAAAAGCTTTTTAAAAACATTCTGCATGTGTGTTGACTTCATATTCAACGACAATACCCTAAGTAGTCATTCCCTAGGAATGCAGATCTTTCAGCTTTGGCATTAAATTTCTCTAAATGGAATTTGCTGTACAGATAAAACACAAAACACAGCAAGCTTTGACTCTGAGGACATTTCCTTTGATAAAACACACTCAAAAAAAGTCAATGGGAATAATATTATTTAGCCCCTTGTTTATGTGAGAGCAATGATTTTCATAACGCAAGGTGAAGATATCCAAACCAATTCTCCAGAATATTTCAGTTGATTTTTCAAACTGATGGGCTGCCTTAATTCTAACATCTAAATCAAGTGAGCTGTACACTTTAGAGCACAAATTAGAGGACTGGCACCAGACTGCAGCAGTTAGACTGCCAGAGAATCGATATAGCCCATTTAAGCATCTGGAATACCTATGTTTCATTTTTGACACTCAAGTTTATGCTTATTGAGTGGGGGAGCTTTAACTTTACAGTGGCAATAAACTCATTAGGAATTGTCATCTGGGATTATAATGCATGTTAAATAAATATTTCCCATGCTCAGACACAGTCTTCATTAACTCTTTAGTAGAGTTTGTGCATGTGAAAGCAGTCTGAGCAGTTTTGGGCATAGTAGGATTTGAGGACAATTTCTCTCTCCCATAGACTTGTCACAGTGCTTGAATTCCAATATGAGGAAAGAATGCCTATGAGTACAAGACTGCTCTTTCCTCTAGAGACTTCTAACAAAATGATATGCTGAATGACGTTGTTAAGAGGATTTGCTCAACGTGGCCTGCAAATGGGGTCTTGTTGGAAGGAAACTCTAATTAGGCATCTTGGAATCCTGTGTTAGATAAACAGAAGTATAGCTAGGTTGACTTAAGGAAGTATGATCCCTTCCTCAGAGTGTGTTCTCCAAAAAATGCTTTGCAATAAATTTTAAAGGCAATGGGTTGATATAACCATTGGTGAGACTATGATAAATGGAGTCATAGCAAACAAAATGCTAGGTAGCAGGACCTTGAGAAATGCCCTTGGTGAAATGTACTTGTGCTTCTCTAGTCAGTGGCTCAGCTCCGCCCCCATCTCTACCCCCACCTGAAGTCCTGAAGTTCTTTTTTTTTTTTTTTTTTTTTGAGACAGAGTCTCACTCTTTTGCCTGGGCTAGAGTGAGTGTCGTGGCGTTGGCCTAGCTCACAGCAACCTCACACTCCTGGGCTCAAGCAATCCTCCT